GCTTGACTGCTAACCAGAAGGCTGGTGGTTCAAACCTACCAGCCGCTCCTCCAAAGGAAGGTTGGGCAATCTGCTTCCATAGTGATACCACCTTGGAAACCCAAGGAGGGGTCGCTATGAGTCAGGTCCAACTCAATGGCACATAACAACATGTCTCTTTTATAATTTTATTATGGTAAAATATATACAGCAAACATTTGCCATTGTGACCATTTTTAAGTGTATAATTCACTTAATTAATTGACATTAATTACACTCAGCATGTTGTGTAACCATTACCACTATGCATTTCCAAAAGTTTCTTATCACCTAAAACAGAAACTCATTGCCTTTTATTATATGTCTTTTAAAATATGTGGAAATATATTCCCAAACCAGCAGTGACCAGCTCTGGGTTAGTTTGTTTGATTTTGTTTTTTAATTTTTATTGTGATTTGGGTGAAAATTTGCAGAGCAAATTCATTTTCCATACAGCAGTTCATACACATTTTGTTTCATAACATTGACTGCAGTTCCCCACAGTGTAACAGCTCTCTTCCCATTTCCTCCCTGTAGTTACCTCTTCCCTGTGTCCTTCCCTCCCATGTACTCCTGCCCCTACCCCCACCCCGAGCTATCTCCCTATGCAAACACTGCCCTTCTGTTCTCCCATGATCCACTGATCGCTGTAAGGAGTGCATCTACCTGTTTGTTTTTCACTATGTGCAAGTTTTACAGTCACCTTCTATTATTTTTTTTATATATGGCAACAGAAGAGCTTTCCATTCGTAAGAATGAAAAAAAAAAAATCACATCTTTGAGTGATACTCAAGTGTTCTTTTCCCTCAATTGAAATATTTGGCACTACTTAGTAAAATATTACTGGTTTTTCATCAGGTAGCCAGACACCTCCAGCCCCAGGAACAAACGGGAGTTGCTGTTATTAATTGAGCCAGGCAGCCTTTGTTTTCTCACTTCCAAATGCTGTATTCTTGGCACATATCTCCAGCCTCCAAGTTGATACTAAATGGCATTGACTTCCAACCATTTTAGGGTTCTGACCTAAACCAGTTTAGACCTCAGATTTCCACTAATGCTACCTGATGATTCCCATGCAGACTTGCTATAAATCTTGCTGGAGTCTGTACATTCAGTAGTATTTGTTTAAGAGTTTCAGCTGTTTGTCTTTAAAGTTGGAGAGGTGCTATTTAAGTGCGATATTTCTAGTAAGTCTACAGAAATTGACATTTTTGGCTTTTTTCCCATCCCGATCACCAAATGAAAGTGTAAATTACATCTCTGCTTGGAATTTATATGCAGGATTGTAGGGTGTTATTTATGTACAGAATTGTTTAATCAGCCGTGAATTGGTGACTTCAAACATTTTAACCATATGCTGCCAGATTATTCATCATAAAATTTCCGTCTCTCTCCCAGATGCCAGTGAGAGTTTGGCAGGCGAGTTCCTGTACTCGGATGTGTGCAGGGTGGAGTCTGGAGAGAACTGTTCCTCTCCTGCACCCAGAGAAGGTAGGACCTGGTAGCCCATAGCCTTACATTAATGTCAGACTCCTCCAGAGGCCTAGATGATGCAGATGATGTTGGAAGTAGATGGAAGCCATTTCTCTACTCAGAAGTGAAGCCCAGGAGCAAAGAGGAAGGGCTGGGAGGAAAGAGGAAGGTGGAGGAAAAAGGGACTACATGTGAAGAAAATATCTGCATAACTGATCAGCCAATATCCCCTGAGTACCCACTGCTTGCTGGGGGCTGTATTGTACAAGTAGTCCCCAGGATACAGATGAGATCTGTTTCTTAGGGTGTTTTAAAGTTTAATTTGTAGGTAAGTCAGAACAGGTGCATATAGTTCATATTTAGCTTTACTTCAGTGCAAGAAAAGACTTGAAGCCTTTTCAGTAATTTAAAAGCTGCATGTGCAGCAAATAAAGGTGACTGTGATGAAGAAATTGTTGCAAACAGGGGTTGGTTCACTCCTTTCAAAGTAAGAGCCAATGTATATAACATTAAGTAGGAGTTGTGTGTAAGCTGGACATTCATAACCCTGGAGACTGCCTGTACATGAAGATAAAATAATGTAGTAGGGGAGGTAGACAGGTAAATAAGTATTTACTAGAGAGTAGGCTGAATGCTGGGAATAAGGATGGAATACAGGAGATAGGGAGTCCCTAAGTAGTGGAATCGATTGATGTATTCAGCTGCTAAGTGAAAAATTCAAGTCCAACCAAAGGCACCATGGAAGAAAGGTTTGGTGATCTACTTCTGAAAACTCAGTCACTGAAAATTCTGTGGAGCATAGTTCTACTCTCACATATATGGGGGATCAGCAGGAGTCAGAATCAATTCCACAACAACTGGTTTTGGTGAAGAAAACAAAATTGCCCAGAGACAGTGATAGCTTTTGAGAGGAAGCATTTGACTCTTGATTGCTTAATTTTATTTTTTCTTGTTCCTGTAAGCTGCGGGGATGGCATTCAGGAAATGTAATATCAAAATCATGGTGTCTCTTTTCCCTCACGTCTTAACTCTGTTTTTTCTTGCTGTGTGCATAGAGCTCATCCCTGTGGAAGAACTGGAACAAGATAAGGAGCATACATGTGAGACACTGCTGATGTGCATTGTTACTGTACTGAGTCACGGGCTGCGAAGTGGGGGCGGAGTAGGAGATGTGCTCAGGAAGCCATCCAAAGAGGTAAATGAATCCTGAGGGGAAGGAAGAGCAAGAGCGGGTGGGTGAGGGGTGGGTGGTGAGTGCACAGAGCAGTGGGATTAAGTGTAAACTGAAGAAACAAAGAAAGAGCTGGGAGTAGTAATGAGTGGATGTGCAAAACTAGATATATTTAAGGTTCCTTTCATCTGCATTTGTCATGCTAAAGCCGTGCAGCAAACTCAGCTGTGAGAAAAGGGACTGCTTTATTTTTCCATTCAATATAGTCAAGTGATTGTTTCCTTCAGGTCTGGCCAACCTGTGTATAATCTCCAAACATCTTAGGTCCCAGGAAACAGTCCCTGGGTAGTAGAAATGGTTAATGTGCTTGGCTGCTAACCAAAAAATTGGGGGTTCGAGTCCAGCCAGAGGTACCTCAAAAGAAAGTCCTGTCAGTCTGCTTATAAAAAAGCAGGCAGTGAAAACCCCGTGGAGCCCAGTTCTCCTCTGACACACGTGGTGTCATCATGAGTGGGAATCAACTCCACAGCAACTGGTTAGATCCCAAGAAGTGACTTTCTATACACATCACATAGCACTTGGAGAACTCACAACTTAGAAACAAGTTACAAAAAGTGATGCAGTTGTGGGTTTTCAAGTTTGACACTCAGTTTAAGTTCTATAGAAGCAGACCAATAGCTTGCTCATAGGTGTGAGTTTCACACAAGTGTTGAGGTGTCTGACTTGAGTGGGCATTTTTACCACTGAGCTCTACTAACCAAAGGGTAATGAGGTGACCTGAGTGATTCTGATACTTCTCTTTTTCAGGAGCCCCTCTTTGCAGCTAGAGTGATTTATGACCTCTTGTTCTTCTTCATGGTCATCATTATCGTCCTAAATCTGATTTTTGGGGTCATCATTGACACCTTTGCAGACTTGAGGAGTGAGAAGCAGAAGAAGGAAGAAATCTTAAAGACCACATGCTTTATCTGTGGTGAGTGTTGCTGCCAACTTCAGCAAGAAAGCAAAGGCCTCACGTAGCAGAGGAGAGTGTGAGCTGGACGTGCCGTGATGGGGCATTTGCCTGGCTATTCTATGGGAGGAGGCGCTAGCTGCATTCTGCAACATCGCTTTCCTCGGCGTGGAGGAGGCCTCTACTTTGCCTTTGTTATGCTGGGAAGTATTAGGAGCTGCTCGATTCTGTGCAACAGTCGCTGGATTGTTTTTAGGCATGAAGTTTTGGAGAGCAGATTATGATCACACATTATTTAAAATGAATGCATTTCAGGGTCTTCTTGTCATTGTGCTCCCTGATCTTCCTTCTTGTTGTTGTTGTTACGTGCCATCAAGTCGGACCCGACTCATAGCGACCCCTCTTTGGGTTTCTGAAGTGGTATCACTACAGAAGTAGATTGCCCAACCTTCCTTCCGAGGAGTGGCTGGTGGGTTTGAACTGCCAGGCTTCTGGTTAGCAGTCAAATGCTTTAGGCACTACACTGCCAGAGCTCTTCCGATCTTCCTTGGGTCCCATTAAAATAAACTGCCCATGGGGAAGTTACCCAGCAGAAAAACAGTCTCATAACTCCACCTTGGGATGGCTTCACTGCAGACAGAATCAAGCTTTAAGTAAAAAATATTCTTTGTAGAGTATATGGCATAGAGTTCAGAGTGTGGATTGGGAGTCAGACCTGGGTTCTGTTTAAGCTGGCACCACTTACTAGCCATGTAAGCTTGATTCATTCACTTAGCTTCTCTTAACCTTTTTCCTCATCTGTAAAATGGGTACAGTACTATCTTGTATTCTCTAAGTGGTGACTTAGAAAGATAATTTATATGATACTACTAAAATAGAACCTGACAAGTAGCAGACATTCAGCCATTAATAGCAAACTGCTACATGAGAAAAAGGTGCATGGGTTACGAAAGCAATTATTTTCTGTATAGGAAACTACAGGGAAATACATGCAAATGTATATTAATCATGTAAGAATCTAGGAGCTGAGTAGTCATTTAAAGATTATTCATGATATAGTTATTTTAGTATATACGTTGCCTACTGGTATGTTGTTGTTGTTATTTGCCATCGAGTCAGCCCCGACTCATAGCAACCCCTCCTTGGGTGTCTGAGGTAGTATCACTATGGAGGTAGTAATGCCCAACCTTCCTTCCAAGGAGCGGCTGGTGGGTTTGAACCGCCAGCCTTCTGGTTAGCAGTCAAGTGCCTTAGGCACTATGCTACCAGAGCTCCTGCCTACTGGTATATATACCCCTAAAAAAAAGCATTTTTCATTTAACAACTTAAAGTCACTGCTTTTTTTCCCTTAAAAACTTATTTAAGCTGTTCATTTTAACATACTTTCAGTTATAGAAAAGTGGTAAGAATGCATATTCCACAAATATTAATATTTTACCACATTTGCTTTATTATTTTAAACACACACACACACATTATTTCTCAGAAAATTTTGAGAATAAGTGGCTGACATGATACCCCTTTATCCTAATATTTCAATATGTGTTTCCTAAAAGCAAAGGCGCTCTGGTGGCATAGTGCCTAAGGCATTTGACTGCTAACCAGAAGGCTGGTGGTTCAAACTCACCAGCCACTCCTCGGAAGGAAGATGGGGCAATCTACTTCCATAGAGATACTGCCTCCGAAACCCAAGGAGGGGTTGCTATGTGTCGGTCAACTCCATGGCAGTAAGTAGCCTAGTAGCCTAGCCTTCCTAAAAGCAAGAAGATTCTCTTATACATCAATAATACAGTTATCTGAATCTGGGATTAACACTGATACAGTGTTAATCTGTAGAGATTATTCAAATCTCACTCCTTTTCTCAATAATTTCCTTTATAAGAAATGAAAATCCCAGGTCATTTGCATTCATTTGACATTTTTGAAGAGTTTAGGTCAGTTAATTTATAGACTGTCCCTTGATTTTAGTTTGTCTAATGTCTCCTCATGGCAAGATTGAGGTTATGCATTTTTTACAAGCACAGCAAAGACAGGTTGTTGTGTTCTTCTGAGTGCATGATATCAGGAGGCACAGGATGTCAATCTATCTTATAACTAGTGACAATAACTGATCACCTTGATTAAGGTTGTGATTGCTAGTTTCCCACTGTAAAGTTTATTTACTCTTTTTCTCTTTGCAGTGAAGATACTTTGAGATTTTATAAATATCTTGTTACTCCTCAAACTTTCACGCATTAATTTTAGCATTCATTGATGATTCTGGCCTGAATCTATTATTATGATCATTGCCAAAGGATGATTTTTCTTATTTCTATGTTTGCTAAATGGCTTTCTACTAGAAGAAAGAACTTTTTCTTCTCTCCCATGTATGTATGTATGTATGTATGTTTGTCTGGATATATTTATAACAATTGAACTCCTTATGATTATTTCTTCTGATGCTCAAATTGCCTCAGCTTTGACCAGTGACAGCCCTTTCAAAATGGCTTTTGTGTTCTCTTGTCATGTCCCCATCATTCTTTATATGTACTTCCTTTTGTGATACAATAAGATGTTATAGGCTCACCGTTTACCTTCCCTACCCCATTCCTTGAATCAGCCATTTCTCTAAAGAGCCCTATATTTGTTAGTAGTAAATGGCACTTAGAAGCCACAATCTAGCAGCTAGGTGTGCTCATTCTATTGTTGTGCTACTATTCCCGGGACTTATTAGGGCACAGATCTAGGGGATATATGTATGTATGTATATAAGCATGTGGAAATATATATACACACACATCTCTATTTCTATGTTTATAAACATTTGAAAACACTTAAATTCATACTGACACTTCTAATTCCATTTTAATATCCTCCCCTTCCATATTTGTAATTCCCTTCATTGACATTAAGAAATTTGACTCCCATTACTCACACTGTGTTTATTTTCTCAGTCCTGAAATACTCAGAAACTACTGCAGAATTGTGCACTCAGACCTCTGCAAAATATAAACTTACCAATTAGAGTGCAATACTTATAAAGTTCTTTTAATCCTATTCTGTCTTCACAAACCCTTCTATCATGTCTACATGTTGACATTTACATGGGAGAAGGAAACTTGCATTCACAGGGTGCCCACTGTAAATGAGGGCTTCATGTAGATCCCCATGTTAACCCCTCATCACCCCTATAACACAGATGGTAGTCTTCCCATTCACTGACAAGGCAGTTCTGGAACAGAGAGATTAAATAACAATTGGTCAGTGTCAGAAGTGAGTCTCAAACCTATGTCAATTGACTCACAGCCTGTGTTTTCCTACCATCATATAAAAGGAAATACATTTCTAAGGCCAGCAAAATCCCACTATTTAGACAGGGCTGAAATAACAGCTTTCTCTGTTTTGACTGTCCTGTTGTACATTTTTCTTTACCATGGCTACTTAATTGGGACTGGGGACTTTCTGTCTCTTTGTAGGTTTGGAGAGAGACAAGTTTGACAACAAGACAGTCACCTTTGAAGAGCACATCAAGGAAGAACACAATATGTGGCACTATCTTTGCTTCATCGTTCTAGTGAAAGTGAAGGACTCCACAGAATATACAGGCCCTGAGAGTTATGTGGCAGAAATGATCAAGGTGAGTGGGGAGGCCTTTTCAAGGCAAGCCAGGCTTAGGGGCTGCATGGCTTGTGAATGAGTTGTCCAGCAGTAAAACAAGGTCAGAGCCCTTATCTTGGACTCACTGTCTTCTCTGAGCTTTATATGTTCTCTGAATGATTTTCACAACCACTATGTAGATGGGTATCATTCTTATTTTAAAGATGGAAACTTTGGGGCTCAGTGAGATTAGCACAAGGTTGCCTAACTGGGACTGGAGTTTGAATCTAGCTCTGACTCTGTAGCGCAGCTTTTCATCTCTAAAGTAATCTGCCTCTCTCCTCGATAGTGGGTACTTTTTTCTCCTTAAGTAAGACTTGGTTTCTAAGAGATGCCGTTTTTTAAAAATCACTGCGTGTAGTTCAGCATGAATTTGTTTGTTTGGCTTTGACCTAGCCTTTCTAGAAGACACTTTGCTAATCATTAGGAAGGGATCTTACAATGGAGAAACCTGAGTCCCAAATTAATCTGCTTGTGTGTGGGAAGCATGGACTGCCACAGCTAGGGAAGCAGGGAAGCTGCTGCAGGTTTCAGAGAGCTCTTCTCAAGCAGGGCTTGGTAGAGGCACCAAGTGTCAGCTGTGGGAGTCCCAGTGCCAGCTGCTCTTTCATACCTGTGGCTCCTGAACGACATTAAAATGTGCAGGGGTATACGGTGAAGTGAGGAAGCATGAACTGTGAAATCTGGGGAGTTTTTGTGATTTACATTCGCTTACTCTGAGGAGAGGGAGACCATTCTGGATCCAGAAAGACGACACAATTCACTGACTCTCCTTCAGTTTCCAAGGACTCGAGCAGTCTGCCCAGTAATGAGCTCTCCCAGACCAGCCCTTTGGTGTATTTTATGCAGATGTGGTTTTACAACTTTCTGGAAGGAAACTCCAAGTCAGGTTTACTCATATGAGTGTCGGATAAAGCCATAGCCTAGATTCGGGCAGGCTGGCAGTTTTATTGCTGGCAGGCCAGTCGCCACGTGGTAGTATTTCTTGAATACCCATATTACACAGGCTCATAAGCTTCTCCTTGGTTCTAGAGAACTTTCCAGAGATCCTGTACTGCCTATTCCCTTGAGGTCTTTAAGTCTAATGCTGTGCTTCTCAAATTTTAATGTTGGTAGGAGTCATCTGGAGATCTTTAATGCAGATTCTGATTCAGCAATTAGGCGGAACTTGAGATTCTGCATTTCTCACAAGCTTCCAGAGACCTGTGCTATTGGCCTGTGAATCACACTGTTAATAAGAGTCTAGCAGAAGGGACAAAACATAGACTGATATAGGATATCATCATCCATATTGGGTGTCTGAGTGCTAAGGAGAAATCATTTCAATTCTTTATATGAAGTTAGCCCTCTACAGTTTGTAAAGTTATTTACATCTATGATTGTATTTGGTCATTAAAATTACCCTAAGCTGGAAAGCACTACCACACGTATGCCAGTGTTTTGTTCTATGGTAACCTGTCTGTTGCTGTGATGCTGGAAGCTATGCCACTGGTATTTCAAATACCAATCGGGTCATTTGTGGTGGGCAGGTTTTAGTGGAGCTTCCAGACTTAAACAGAAAGGCCCTACAATCTACTTCTGAAAATTAGCCAGTGAAAACCTTACGGACCACAATGAAACACAGTCCACCTTGCTTCCTTTGGACATGTCATCAGAAGGGATCAAGTGCTGGAGGAGGACATCCTTTTTGGTGAAGTAGAGGATCAGTGAAGGTGGGGGAGACCTTCAGTGAGTTGGACTGGCCCCTTGTAGCCATAGTGATGGACGTAAATATTCCCGCCATGGTAAGGATGATGCAGGACTAAGCAGTGTTTACTATATTGTACATGGGGACTGTCATGTGTCAGAAGTGACTTGATGGCAGCTATCTATCCCTAAATGGGGAACCAGTAAGAGAGATCTTTGGGGATGGGGATAAATGAATGAGACCTCACAGCAGAGATGACTTTTTGGTAGGGTTTTGAAAAAGATAAGAGTCATAGACTAACAGAGAGAATGGGGGGTGGAAATTAACCTAGAGAGGGGGGAAGAAACACAAGTTCTAGAATGAAGGTGATGACACTGTTGTTAAGAAACTTCCTTAGTAGGAGCTGATAAGAAGCTAAGTCAAGATTCAAACATGTGTTAGACTGACTCTAGAAGTTGCTCTCCATAATCATGGTGTTGGTAGGAAACAGGAAAATGCTAATAGTACTAGGCAAGGTGAGAACAGGATCCTGTTCTTATGACAATTATGAATTCCAGTGGTAGCCAGTACAGATTTTCACTACGATAGGTTTCCAGCATCAGGAAACATTAACTGAAATCTCAGAGAAATTGTAACTATCCCTTACTGTGGTTAGCTGCTGTCAAGTTGGCCCCTGAGTCACAGAGACACCATGCACAATGGAACAAATTGCCACCCAGTCCTGCGTCATCCCCATGATCAGCTATGGATCAGACCACTGTCATCTTAGGGTTTTCATTGGCTGATTTTTGGAAGTGGATCACCAGGCCCTGCTTTCTAGTCCATCTTACTCTAGAAGCTCAACTGAAACCTATTCAGCATCATAGCAACACACAAGCCTCCACTGATACCTGAAGTGCATTAGCTGGGCATTGAACCCAGATCTCCCACATGGAAGGCAGGAATTCTACCAGTGAACCATCAAGCCCCTGGATGATGCAAATATTTAATGCACTCAGCTGCTAACTAAAAGGTTGGAAATTTGACTCCACCCAGAGGGACCTCAGAAGAGAGGCCTGGTGATCATCTTCTAAAAAGTCAGCCATTCAAAACCCTATGGAGCACAGTTCTATTCTGACACACATAGAGTCGCTGTGAGTCAGAGTTGACTGGACAACCGCTGGTTTAGTTTAATTATCCCTTAAAAACCCATTGCCGTCAAGTCAATTCTGACTCATAGCAAGTCTATAGGACAGAGTAGAACTGCCCCATAGGGTTTGCAAGGCTGTAATCTTTCTGGAAGCAGGCTGCCACATCTTTCTCCCATGCAGGAGCTGGTGGATTCAAACTGCCAACCATTTAGTTAACAGCCAAGCACTTAAACAATGCACTACCAGGGCTCTTTATTTATGCTTTGGGAGTCCTCAAATCCTTTCTTTTCCTCCAATTGTTGATACTGCCAGATTAGACCATATTTTATCTTCATCTATGCTGAAACAAACTTGTCCCCATATACTATAAGGACTCTCATTTGCATTAAATGTTTTAGTATGTAGAAAAGATGACTTACCGTTTTCACCCTTGTCATAAATGCCTTTTGTCCCTTAAACTTTGTTTTCTTCCCTCTAAGGTGTTTGAATGTGTCATATCTTTTAAGTCTTTCAATGGCAACTTTTGAAGTTTTCTGTTAATCACCTTATTTTATGCTCTTTTGGGTTTCTGCCTCAATAATGAAGACTTAAAGGAGTCTTGTGAGCAGTCACCTGCTGAGGATTAAGAGTCAGACACCGTCCCTGAAGCCACCTGCCAACCAATTTGGTCTAAGCCCACTGCACTGGCGATGCTTTGAAAAGCCTAGCACCCAGTATGCCTTTTCCCTGTTCACATCATTCTTTGATTGAATAAGACTTCTTGTCAAAAATCCTAAAAATCAGTAGCATCAAAGAACTCTTAACTCTGAATGTCACATTGCTAAGAAACCAAATGTTTGTGCACTAAGTGATGGCTCAGGGAAATATTAGATCCACTAGCTGAAAGTCAGTGTCTTTTCAGTGGTGTCTTTCTCAAGCTACATGTGTCTTCAAGCCACATGAATTCCTGCTGGGCACTCCTAACAGAGCATTAGCTGTGGCAGGTCAGGAGCTGCTCAACCAAAATCACTTATGAGGGGCTGGAATTCCATGGGAACCTAGAGGTATGGTGGTAGAGGCTCCATGCCTACATCATGGATTCAACTTAGTCATATACTGTGGAGCAGCCATGGCAGAGAGATGAGGTGCCCCTCCCTCAAGGTTTGCTCCTGAGGAGCTGGGCATCCTACCATCACTGCTGAGAGGAAAAGTAAGGTGATCTCTTTGATAAGCCAACTTATAGTTGCTATCAAATTGACCCCAACTCATGACAACCCCATGTGTATAAGAGTAGAACTGTGCTTTGTAGGGTTTTCAGTGGTTGGTTTTTCAGAGGTAGATAACCAGGCCTTTCTTGCAAGGCACCTCTGGGAGGACTTGAAGCTCCAACCTTTCAGTTAGCAGCTGAGCACTTAACCGTTTATATCACCCTGGTGCTGGTGCCCTAAACACAACCACTCTTTGGAGATAGGGCAGCATCGGAGGTGACGAAAAGGATCTTATCTCTAAAAACCAACAAAAGATGAGTGAGATCTACCTGGCACTGCACCAAGAAGGGCTTTCAGGAGCCCCAGCTGACTGTTAGAGAATGACAGTTGACTGGCCTTGAGCAAGGGGGCGGGGGCAGTGCTGAATGTTTGCCATCTCTGTCTGGATCCATCTTCTAAAAGGCAGATTTCCTACTTTCAGTGGCATCTTTGAAACTTTTGAAAACCTAGCTAGGAAGAAAACACGAGAGCCCCGCTGGGTCAGACACACTGCCTTTCCTAGCTCCCTTCTAGAACTGGTCTACAGTCTAGGTGCCAGGACCTTTTCTTTCTAAAAATGGAATCATACTGAGTATCTTGCCATCTCTAGAGGGAAAGGGGGAGCATTTGAAAAAGCTCTGTCTCACTGTTGAGAAATTTAGCAGCCACAAAATAATCTTAATTTAAACACAATAAAAGTTTGTATATTCTGTTTGTTCACCTTCTGGCCATCCTCTTTATCCCGTCATTGGAGGTGAGAATATCCCTGGTAAAGCCATGGTCAGGCTGATGCTTACCATGAAGTTGTTGCTACCCAAAATTTATATCTGGAGGCAGAAGATTCCAAGGTTTGAGTTGCAGCTTTGCAACCTCCTGTTGTTATTGTTAGTTGCTATGAAGTTGGTACCCCATTCATGGTGACGGTGACCCTGTGCAC